CTGTTTTGGGATTAACTCGTGTCTTTGTTGTTTGAATGATTGATTGATTGACTGATGTGTGATTGATTGAATTGATTTATTTATTTTTTAATTTACTTTCTTACTTAGTTTTTAATTAGATGCATAACCAACACTTGAATATTTTAAAGACTCTTATGTGGAATGTTGTTGTGTAATGATTTATATTTATTGCTAAATGTGTTATTCCTGAGTTAACATTAGCTATCATTTACACAGTAATTTACACTATCATCCGTATAATTATTTGTTACTCTCTTGCAGGCTTGTGATATATTCCATTTGCTTCAAATGAATTTCTTAATGAGGTTTTTGTCTTTCTTTTGTACACAGGTGTAGAAATATCGAGAGCATTTAGTCCGGATTCTTCTGATTCTGGCAATGAGACCAACTCCTCAGAGATGACAGAGAGCTCTGAGCTGGCCACTGCTCAGAGACACTCAGAGAACCACCTGAGAATGCATGTAGCCATGGCAGAAGGATACCACGCCATGAGTGAGGAAAAGACAGAGGTGAGTGCGCCCAGTGACGGTGGAGCAGGAGCTATGCAGTACAAACCCCAGGAGCAACAGGAGGAGGAGGCCAAATCCTCCTCTGTCACCTCCTCACAGATATTTCACTCGAATGGCGGCGAGATGGAGCCAGAGACAATGGAAATAAAATCCGTGAGTGAATACTTCACTAAGATGCACATTGGCTCCCTAATGAGCAGGCAGAGAGGAAAACAGAGAGAGACTGAGAGCAGAATCCAGGGAGAGTCCTGCGATTCTGACAAATCAAACACGGCTTCTCAAGACTCAGCGAAGGAGGAGCTCCCTCATCTTGTTGGGAAATATAACGCTTTCACTGTGAGAGATTCCTATTACATGAACCAACTTGATCTGGGGCGAACTCATTTTAAAGACAGGCATCAAAAATGGCAGCAGAGAGTGCCTGGAAACAAAATGGCTGAGAATCTCGCTCCAGAATGTGTGAGTGACTCACAGGCTTCCCACGCAGACAGGTTGACAGCAAAGGGAGAGAAGCAGGACTTAGATGAAAGAAGCCAACAGTTAAATGCCCATCTCATCTCCCCATCCAAAGGGCCCGTCCCTGCACAGGGCGACGCTGCTTCACAGGATAATGAGCAGCAGCAAACGAAGCTTCCACAGTCGGAGCCAGATGTCTCACGGTTATATGAATACCACGTGAGCAAGCGCATGTCATCAATTCAAAGCGAAGGCATTCATTCTCTCCAAAGCTCGCAGTGTTCCTCAATAGATGCAGGCTGTAGCACAGGGAGCAGCAGCTGTGTCACCCCTATGGACTCTCCTCTTTGTGCCACAGACAATATGCATGTACTGTCCGAATCTTCGCTCAAGGGGCTGAGTTATGTCACTGCGGAGGAGAAGGCTTATGGGGCCCACGGGCAAGGGAAGGTCAGCCACCCCATGGACCCCACCCTGCTGAGGAAGATCCATGCAGCTACCAGTGCTGAGCCTGGGTTTGGAATTACACGGGACAGCAGTCACAGAATGCCCAAGATAAAAGAAACCACAGGTAAACTTAAACAGGAGGGTGAACCTCTAATCTGTAACCTGGTAAGATCAACATTTAAGACAGTTCATCAAAACAGGCAAATCTAAGGTTGAGAATTTGTTTGAAATCCTCAGGTTACACAAATTACCAAAATAACAAACAAAACTTTGCCTGACTTACTTTCAAGGCAGATGCCTATAGATAGATTTTGCTTTTATGTCAGTGATATCTTTTTCTACCCCTCATCTGTATAACCAGAAGGGAATCAAATTTTGCTTATAACACACACAGCACTAAGAGATTGAAATATATACATTTAACAAGAAGCAGTCTTACCAGTGTCTGACAATACAGGACTTCTGGGTCACTGCAGGTTTTTAATAACTTTCCCCAAACATATTTGACAAAATAGTTCGCCTTTTACTGTGATGACACTCTTTGACTCTGCATATCCGCTCAACTGTGATGACAGTCTGCTTCATGTGCTGCAGTCATTGCTGAAATTATGGAGTCAGAACAAACTTGGGTGTCTTGACACCAAATTTCTGTGGGCATCTTTTCGGCAGTATTCACGTCAGTCCACTGGACAACACACATGCTGACATTGATGTAATTGTGATATTCCATAACAGCCCAAGATATCAGTCAGGATGATCTATTAAAAACTAAACTGGATAGTCCACAGGCCTTTAAAGGCTTTCCATGGAAATACATATGAGATTTTACAGTATTTTTTAATACAAAGACTGATATCTGTGAACTGCTTGGTGTTATATGCACTTGCTGATTTTAATTTTCCTTTTAGACATTTATTATGGCTATGAGAACAACACACTATTTTGCCTGTACTTTGGACTGCAACATATAAAGATGTTTCAAAATTTAGGAAATTTGACAATCAGATCAATAAGCATAGCTACATACAAGCAGAGGTTAAAGGATAAATATGTTGTTGTTTTTATGTGTTTGAAATTACTTGCCAATATACATTGCACTTTTTTCTTAAACGAACCACTCGACATATTGGGTATTAATCTTATTCGCATTCCGCTTGCAGTAACATTACAACTGATGCTACTCTTATATCTGTTGCTTCACATCGCTTTGTTGGCTTAGCTTACCGTAAAGATCGGAGACAAGGAGAAAGTATGAATACATCTATAAGTTATTGTCCTAAATGTTACCTCTTGACTTTCTGCACTTTGTACAGCTTCATCAAACAAGAAACAAAGTATTAATGTAAGCTAAGTTTTTCATGATTGCTCATAAGTACATTTTGTTGCCTTTGGACTGAGCTTGGTGAGCCAATTTCCTTGTCTCCAAAGTCTTTTGCAATGCTAAGCTAACTAGCTGTTATGATATTCTCATATGGACTAGATTGATAATATGTCTCTATAACATTTTCCATCAGTTACACCAGGATTAAGAGATTCCTTCTTAATTGTGCACTATATGTCTTTTCTATCACTGGAACCAATAATACAGTGAGACTGAAGAACATTGTGTTAATGTTAAGGTAGATGCTTAACAGTTCTCTTTGTTTTCCTACTACCCCTAGTGTAGCTTGCACACAGCTGAAGAAGGCTGGGAAAGAGTCATCTTTAGCTCTCTGTAATGAGACCAGTACCACCACCACAATCATGTCACCTTCATCATTACAAAGTAGCACAGAGCCCAAACGGCTAACACAGGCCAGCCCTGAGCCTGACCCACACACCCTGGCTTTTCCCTCAAGCGGATCTTCATGTGACCCAACAACAGGCAGCCTCCGGAAGCTGCGAAGGGTTCGGATGCTCAGGAGGAGCTGGAGTACCTTAATGCCAGGTTCCAGGAGCTTAGAAGTACTGTTTGAAAAGACCAAAGCCATACTTACAGGGAAGAATGATAGTCGGAATTTACAGTTTCAAGATCCCCCAAAAGAGCAGATGACATTTTCTGCCAAAACCTTACCCACGAGCTTTTCCCAAGGTTCGGTTGCCTGTAATTCAACTGGTGAACAGCTGCTAAGAGGAGCCTCTCTGTTGATGCCCGAGCAAACAGCACCGAGGCTGGATACAGGTGCATGGAAGTGCCGTGGGCCGTTCAGTCACTGCTTCCTCAGGAGAAAGTCGAACACTCATGCCGGTGATGAAGATGGAGAGATAACCTCACATGATCTGCACTTTGACAGCTCAGTTTCTTTCTATGGCAAGGAAAACACTATCTTGAGAAACTACAAAGCTGAATGGAGCAAAATGGCCTCATATATGAAGAACATGAGCCTCAAAGATCGGCTTGCTCACATTAACTCAATGAAAGGAAAAACCTACAGCCTTCACACGGGGTTCGCACTTGCACGGAAGGATGCCTTAGAGATGATTGGTGTGTTGCGTTCAAGTGTAGGCCACCCTTCCAGAATTGCCATGCCTGAGGTCAGCGAGGCTGACATGGAAACGTTCGCCCAGCTGCTTCTCATGCAGGCCAAAGTGCTGAGCAGCGCCTGCAGTCAGATGGCGATGGAGTACAGTAGCCCAGAAGAGCTGCTGCTCACGCTGACGCACAGCTTCCACACTCTGTGCTGCCTAACGCAAGCCTGCATGTCACTAGTAGAAGGCCTGAGCACCGACAGTGAACGGCGCGAGGTGGTAGCCAAGGTGGATGAGGTCGTCATGAACTACGTGTGTCTTCTGAAAGCTGCTGAGGCAGCTTCAGGAGGCTCCCCCGGTGACCAAAGTGTGAATGCATTGTCACATTATTCTGCCACCATGTCTGCTATTCTAAACACACTAACTCACTCACTGAACACACTGCTAAACGAAAAAACTGTTATTTTGTCTTGATTATTGATTTCAAAGCCATACATAAGAGACATGGGTTTAACAACCAATGTGAACTGCTGTGAAAAAAATTTAAAAAACTTGCCTTGTGTATACAGTATTTTATTATGTAAAGAAACTATATGATTATACAAATAATTAAAGTTTTAAATAGATTATATTAAGGCCTATATTAAAAAGCATATGACTCTCTTCTCAAATATATTATCTAATATTACTTCATAGGGATTATTTTCAGGATTTATTGGTTTTATTGACAGCTTAACATGTAGATTGACACAAACTTATTAGTATCTTGTTTATAACTTGTAAAAAAGTACACAGCTGAAGAAATGCATACACTATATAAAGCTCTAAACAAATCGCTGCACAGGACAAGAGATGATAAAGCTGAAGTAACGCGTACAATATTTTCATTTGCTTGAGTCACTTAATTTAATGAAAACTTTACACATAAACACTGAGTACTTTCCTGTTATTTTTGTCAATGTCATTAAAGAAATTAAAACTTTTTAAAAAGTATAAATTGTTTTGTTGTCTGTTTCTGTTTCACTCTGCTCGCTCACAGTTTTGGTTTTGGTCATTACCAATCTCTCGGCTATAAAAGTTTGTTACTGAAGTTTCATTCAATAAAGCGTCTTTATTTAGTTTCAAGTGTGTTCAATAATTAATTTTTTCTACTTTTCGCTCAAGCTTTAGTGGTGAAAGTGCTTTTTGCATTAAAGATGATGATGGCCTATTTCACTTACAGTACAGGGCTGGAAAGAATGTTTTTGCACAGCTTGAGAACGAGTCACTGTGCATTATGTGTATGCATCTGAGTAAAACGAAAAAGACAACAGCCAGCAGCTCAGTGAGGCTATAAGCATAAAGGTGCTTAAATGCCAACATAGTGAACTCCTGATCAAAATTGACCTGATGATGCTCACTGATCACTTCGATTTAGGATGACATGCATGTTTATACTTGTTTTATGGCAAACAACCATCTAAACTTAAATTGCCAACCTAGTGAGCAATGAATTGAAAAAACATGAAACCAATCCATCTGTCCATCCATTGCTCAAACCATGTTCTAAACCACTTATCCAGCTCAGAGTGTTTACGCCAAACCATTTGAAATATACGGATATTTCCCAGGATACATGGAAATTTTAAAATGTTAGTTGTGCTTAAGGAAAATACAGATAATGATTGAAGTTGATCTCTGCTTCAAATGTTTAAAGCACTTCATCGGTAGTTCTCAAGACATTTTTCTATAAACCCAAATTTAACAAGAGGTATGCTGACCAACAGGAATACCTAGTATTGCTAGAATAGGTGTAGTAAATCACACCATTTCACCGTAAAGACAGACAGCTAAACAGTCTAGCTACTGTAAATCGGTAGGAACTGTACCTAAAACCACTGAACATATTTATTTATCTTAAATTTGGGCAGGTGAGACTGAATGTTAGTCATATAGTCACAGATAACAAAAAAAATATTCTGCTTGATGTTAAAATAACTTCACCACCATGTACAGTGGTAAAACCCAAACCACACCACAGGTTTCATTTTCCCCTAAAATTTAATGAGAAATGAAACTCTTCCTTTCACTGGTTTCAGTTGAATAATAACTTGTAACTCACCCAGCTGTGTTTTATAATACCATGGAATATCTGCCATACAACAAGAGTCAGAGTATTAAACCTGCTGTATCTTATTAAAGGCACCTCTTTACAGTAACAATAGCATAAATGCACCAATAAGCCTTTTCACGATGTAGTAAAAGATGAAATATTTGGATGTTTGTGGTTTGTAAGAAAGTAGGAAGTGATGCCGGCTAATTCTACACACACTAGGCTAACACAGACACCTGTTACTTTCATCGACCACCTCAGGAACGTTTGTTAGTGTTATACTTCTTTCAGTACTCCATCGAACCTGACAAGACAAGTCAGAGCTGGACTCTTTTTTTTTTGTTTTCTCACATAAATAATGTTTCTCCACCTGGTGAGTATGATTTTTATATACTCTATAGTATCAGAATTCATAAGCTGTCAAATGTAGTTTGGCTTAGAAGTGCTGTTAACTGTTGAGAAGTAGAAAATCAAATGCGAGAGAATGCTATTTCCTAATTGTACAGTAAAGTAAAGTATAATATGCTGGCCATGATTACTAAAGTTGCTGATTTTAGCGTCCCTTGTTATGATTTGCATTTATAATGTGCTGTTACAGTATTATTAGATTTCTACTAGCAAACCTTTCTCATGTTTCCGTGCAGATGTGTGTGGCACTGCTCACCCTGTGGTCTTGTCTCCCTATTTTGGCAACTGGCATCTATTACCCGAAAACTCTGCCATGTGATGTTAACGAGATCAACAATGGGAGTGAAGTGAAGGTGGACTGCACTGAGAGAAGCCTCAAAAAAATCCCCCATGGAATCCCGAGAGACACAACAAACCTGACGCTCACCATCAACCATATTCCGAGTTTAAACTCCACCTCCTTTTACGGTTTGGAGAACTTGACTGAGATTGACATGAGGTGCAACTGTGTGCCCATCAAAATCGGACCCAAGGACAAGATGTGCCTGAAGAGTGTGATAATTGAGGAAAATACTTTCAGCAGACTGAGCAATCTGCGAGCGCTGTATCTAGATGGCAATCAGCTCTACAGTATACCTAAAGGCCTGCCTTCAAATCTGATCCTTCTGAGCTTGGAAGTGAATCATATTTATTATCTTTCTAAAGCAAACCTCTCTGAGCTTAGAAATGTTGAGGTGCTTTACCTTGGTCAAAACTGCTATTTTCGTAACCCCTGCAATGATTCCTATGATATAGAAGACGATGCATTTTTACAGTTTAACAATTTAAAATTGCTATCTCTTAAATCAAATAACTTGTCTTTCATTCCACATCAGCTACCCACTACTCTGAAGGAGCTGTATCTCTATAACAATAACATTCAAGAAGTCACTGATGAAGACTTTAAAAATTTAACTAATCTTGAGATTCTAGACATTAGCGGAAACTGCCCCCGGTGTTACAACGCTCCTTTTCCATGTAGCCCATGTCCAAATAACGCGCCATTGAAAATCAGCAAGACAGCTTTTAAAAGGCTGACCAAACTAAAAACATTACGGCTGCATAGCAACTCCCTTACAAGTGTGCCTTCTGAATGGTTTGACACCACAACTGAGCTCAGAGTGCTGGACCTCTCATCAAACTTTTTAGCAAGGGAGCTAGAAATCACTGCTTTCCCAAAATTCCTGGGTAAACTAGAAGAACTTGACCTTTCATTCAACTACGAGCTTCAGAAGTACCCTCAAACGCTAAAACTGAGTTGCAGTTTCTCCTCTCTGAAGTCTCTCAAAATTTTCAGAATGAAAGGTTATGTGTTTCAGCAGTTAACTACAGAGAGTATCGCTCATTTAAAACCTCTACCGAACCTGGAGGTTGTAGATTTGGGTACAAACTTCATTAAAATGACAAAGCTTAGTATTCTGATGGAGTTGAAAAGCTTTAAAATAATCAGCCTGTCTGACAACAAAATATCGTCTCCCTCTGATGGCCAAATTGCACTTGATTCGTCCGGAGGAGAAACCTCGGACTGGTCTCCGATGTCTTCCGCTGCTGAGTACCAAAACAAAGATGTGAGAGAGATTCATTATTTCAGATATGATGAGTATGCACGAAGCTGCAAATACAAGGACAAGGAACTTGGAGTTATTACATCCTTCGTCAAAAAAGAATGCAGTCAGTTTGGCAAAACCCTGGACGTCAGCAGAAACAATATATTCTTCCTGCATTCACGATTTTTAAACCTTACAGAGCTAAGATGCCTCAATCTGTCTGGAAATGCAATGAGTCAAAGTCTGAATGGTTCTGAATTTACTTACCTGGCTAATTTACAATATCTGGACTTCTCATGGAACCGTTTGGACCTGCTCTACTCTACCGCGTTCCAAGAGCTGAAAAATCTGGTCATCTTGGATATAAGTAACAACAACCACTATTTTGAATCAGAAGGTCTGACTCACATGCTTAATTTCACTAGGCATTTAAAAAACCTAAAGGTACTCCTGATGAATCACAACAAGATCTCTACTTCCACTAACACAGAGCTGGAGAGTCAATCCCTAGAAAGGTTAGAGTTCAGAGATAACCGGTTAGATGTACTGTGGCGAGATGGGAACACCAGATATGTCAACTATTTTAAGAATTTAGTTAATCTGACTGTCCTTGACATCTCCCATAACAACCTCCCTTTTATCCCATCGGACGTATTCAGTGGTCTACCAGAGAAGCTATCTGAGCTGTATATCAAAAACAACAAACTAAAATCCTTTAACTGGAAGAAACTGCAACTTCTACACTCATTGCGAGTCTTGGATCTCAGTGGAAACAGCTTGACTACTGTTCCAGATGTGTTATCAAACTGCACCACATCTCTTGAGAAACTAATTTTACACAAAAACCAAATCCTAAAGCTTACACCAGATTTCCTCAAGGGTGCCTACCACTTGAAATATCTAGACCTGAGTTCTAATCACATCCAGTACATTGAAAAATCCAGCCTTCCAGATGATGTTCTTAATCATATGGACATGTTACTTCTGCACCAAAACAGATTCTTGTGCACTTGCAATGCCACCTGGTTTGTCACATGGCTCAACAGGACTACAGTAACCATACCTAGATTGGGCACGGATGTTACCTGCGTTGCCCCAGGGGCACAAAGAGGTCGTCCAGTCATCTCAGTGGACCTTTTGGCCTGCCAGCACCACTACCTGTCAATCATCCTCTCCACCCTAATGACTTCCCTGATCCTCATCTTGGTCACGCTGTCCATCTCCAGCCATCTCTTCATGTGGGATGTCTGGTACATCTACCATTTCTGCAGGGCCAAGCTCAAAGGCTACCGCCGCCTGTATTCCCAGAGCGCTGTTTACGATGCCTTTGTGATCTATGATAAGGAGGATCCTGCAGTATCAGAGTGGGTGACGAAGGAAATGTGCGCTCATCTTGAGGAGTGTGGAGACCGCCGACTGACGCTTTGTCTTGAGGACCGGGATTGGATGCCCGGATGCCCCCTGATTGACAACCTCTCTCAAAGCATCCACAGGAGCAAGAGGACTGTGTTTATTCTCACCAAAAAATACATCAAAGGGGGAAACTTCAAGACGGCGTTCTACATGGCTCACCAAAGGCTAATGGATGAAAAAAATGATGTTATAGTGCTTATTTTCTTAGAGAAAGTGCCCTGCAATTCAAAGTACTTGAGATTACGAAAGAGGCTGTATAAGAGGTCTGTGCTAGAGTGGCCAACAAATCCTCAAGCCCAGCCATACTTTTGGTTCAGCCTGAGGAGTGTATTAGCAACCGAAGGTCACAAACAATACAACAATCTCTTCAAAGAGACACTGTAAAGAGAACAATATGCTGGAAAATGCAGTTTCTTCTCTCTAGATTGCTTTAAATGTACTCCTGTATATGAATTATTATATGTGAATACTGAACTGTTGTAATGTGAGCAGTTTTATTATTAATGAAATATTAATAATTAATGATGTGCTAATTTTAAACTCTGTATTCAAATTATTTGGGAAATTCATTGGCACTCTTTGCGATGCCAGTGGGGGATTCTCAGACTCAGTTGGCAATGAAATGCAACATACCATGAAAGAAGGAAATGAAACAGACATATTTGTTCAATTCACACGCTGCTCCCCCCCACAGCTCATTCTGCTGTGTACAACAGTCCCCTTCCTTATTTTGATGGGTGTATGTGAGCATGCAGAGATGTTTACACGGCTAATTTGACTTGATGATATACAAGACATGCACCTTATAGATTTTTAGCAACTTGTTGTGGGTTTTTTTTTTGGTTTTGGGTTTTGTTTTTTTTTGTTTTTTGTCTTTTAACCACTACCACTTATTTTTAAATGGTAGAGGAGAAAATCTGAATTCAAGATTGTCATTCAGGGATTAATACAGTACAGGCGCAATGGTAAGTTACTGAGTGTGTGTATAGTTACTTTTAACTTACTTATCAGAATAATCTGATTTTCTGCATTCTGATGTTATCTTTGATGATTTTGTCATTTTATGATTTTGTGCCAAAACTTTGTATAGATATATCTGACTCCAAAAACCCAGACTGATCATTTTATTGTGTTTTGCTTTTAAATCTGTTTTGCTTGTTTGGAAATGTGTTGACATATTCAATTAAAAGGTATAATAAAACTTGCCAGCCAATGTGTAGAAAAACATCATGGCATCATTATCATATTCATCATTATCGGCATTTTATTTAACTTGTTTTAGAAATCAGCACTTGGCGATCTTGAGAACACAAGCTATGAAGCCACACTTTATCTTAAACTGTCAAAGATACATTTAGCAGTCAAGACTTTCTTTTCGGTAGCACTTTATAATAATGTCACACTATTAAGCATTATTACGGTGTTAGTAAAGTATTAGCAAGTGCTTAATTCATCATTTATACATCACTGCTCTTCCTTAGTATGCCGATGCAGATATGTTTATCCATCTGTTACTGTTATGCCATGTACAGCTATCACTGCTGGACATGGTGAAATCATGTACAGCTATAATTGCTACTACATAGCTGCTAATAGTAATCATAATCAAAGTAGTGATAATATACCTGTATTTATAAATGGCATAACAGGAGAACTGATGCTATATAAATGATGAATTAACCACTTGGTAAAACCTTAGTAATACCTTAATAATGCTTAATAATGTGACATTATTTTAAAGTGATGCCCCTTTTTTTAGGTATTTCAATTCAATAAATTGCACAGGTATAATGAAGACATGGGACAAATGTATTTAGAAAATTTATGGGATACTGTATGTCACTTATCACTAAGTATGTGACGTGCTCCCATGAAAAGTACTTTAACAACAACCTGAAAGATTTTTGATATCTCCTATTTTTAAAATTATTTCTAGGCTGGTAATTGTATATTTTACATGTATCGTTTTACATTTCATACCCTTACTTGCTGTTTTGATAAGTAAAAGAAAGAACAAGATTTTTTTTTCTTACTAGACTTCCAACCTACTGCCACCTGCTGCAAATAGGACAGGTTTACAATTTTTTCAAGATTGCTTTACAATCTCAGTGTCTTTTCCCTAGCTGATATTTTAACATGTCAAAACAGGAAAAGCAGTGGTGTAATAAATAACTGTAATAACATTATTAAGGGCTCTATTCGGTTTAGGTATATATAGTTTAAGTCAGTAGACAAAAAAGTTTTACAAAAAGTTTGGAAACCAGTAATGCACAGAAAAAATTACATAGATTTTTATCCATTAATATGTCACATAAGGAGTGAATAGAGTGAAGTCGAGGAGAAGTGCTCACTGCATCACAGGAAGGCCCACAGATGTCCGAGCCTGGTAGGGATGAGGGAGTGAATTTGGGTCAACCTTTAACAACTGTCAGTAGATATATTAACAATGTAATATTAATACACTTTGCTTTTTGGGAAGTCTCGTAATCCATTACATGAAAATGAGTTATGAAGTTGCATATTTATTGCAAATTTAAAAATTTTTAATTTATCAATCTGAGACTTTTAGTCACATCTAAAATATAAGCTTTAAGCCGATTCTAAAAGCAAACCTAATCTGCAGACCAATATCACTGTATTTTGTGAACCTCTAATTGACATGATAAAAGTGTTATAGTAATATAATATATAACATTATATATAGTACAAATAGTGTTCTTTTATCTATTTTTTTACCACAATAATCATGAAAAAGTGTTATAATTTTGTACAAGCCCTTTTATAAGCTTAAGGTTATTTCATTCAACTGATTCCATCATTTTTCCACAGATTACCAAATGCTGGATGCTGTTGTTCTATCTGTGTTACCATTATGAGATCATGCCAGCTGCATTTACACCTACCTGGATGACACGGCAGTTCCCTTGTGATGTTATATCCAACAAAACATCAAATACAGTCAAATTTGACTGTAAAGGCCGCCATCTAGAGGAAGTACCAGAAGGGATAACCAGTAATGCCACACATCTCGACTTATCAGAAAATTTTATTAAGAGTATTAAAGATGAATCATTTTCTAAACTGACAAATCTGACTCAGCTCAATCTCAACTGGGCAAACAAATCCAAGGACGGTTATGGATGCAGACTATTGAACATTCCTGCAAATGCTTTCAAAAATCTCACAAAAATCAAGCAACTGGAACTGAGCGGCAACTGTCTGACTGAAATTCCACGCAATCTCCCCCACAGTGTGGAAACACTTGAGCTAGAAATTAACAAGATTAGCTTGGATAAATTACATGACAACAGTTTTCTTGGTTTAAAAAACATAACAAACCTGTTTCTATCTAAAAACTGCTACTTCTGGAATCCCTGTGGGAAGTCTGTGGCTATTATGGAAAAACCCTTTCAAATACTGGACAAACTGAATGCTCTGAACTTGTCTTACAACAACTTAACACACGTTCCTAAAGGACTACCCCAGTCAATTACAATTTTAGGTCTGGATTCCAACAAAATAGAGAACATATCTAAAGATGATTTCCAGGGGTTGCTAA